AAGCGAACTATAAATAAATATAAAATATAACAACAATTATATAAAACACAAAAATAATTGATAAAAACACTCACTTTTGTGGATCAATACTATAGATCTCTTCGGCGATTAGTGCGAGACTATAAATGTCTGTTTTGTGGTTATATTGCTTATAATGATAAACTTCGGGCGACATATATGTCTTAGTGCCCACACCTAACGTATGGTCGTATCGGCTCGCAGTTTGCCTATCGATGTCGTGATCGGTGGCCAAACCAAAGTCACACAGTTTTATGAACCGATTAAAACTGAAGTTGTGATCAATTAATATGTTTTCCGGTTTGAGATCACGATGAATGACCACTGGATTAGATTCGTGTAGATATTGGACGCACTCTAAGAGCTCTCTGAATATTTCACATGACATGAAATACTCGATGGCATTCATCTGATCTTCCGGTTGTCTCCCGAAGGCAATGGGTTTGTCTTTGAGAAGCGATCGTAGAGTTTGCGCACAGAATTGCATTTGAATGTAGAGATGATTGGACTCAAGCCATGAGTTGTAATATTTGATCACAAATTCTGACTCCATTTTTGCCAAACTTTTCACTTCTTTTATAACTTTTTGTTTCTTTTCTTCACTAAAATCTGTAAAATATTTTATGAAATATTTGTTAAAATTTTTATGAATGAATTAAATAAATAGATATACAATAATATAATATTTACCCCCAAATTCCACTCTTTTAACGGCATATATCTTATCATCCAATCTATGCTTTACTTTAAATACAGTCCCAAAACCACCCGAACCTATGGCTGACATCTCAATGAATTGGGTTTTGTAATTACCATCATTAAATTGATCATTGTTATTTTCACTTTCTTTTGATACAATTGTTTTGTTACTTATTTGTTGAAAAGTAATATTAATTGTATTATAAGTAATATAGTATTCATTGGCGAAAACTTCATTAAAATTATTATAATTGGTCTCAAATAGTTTGAGATCTTTTGATATTTTATGTATTTTATCGTTCATTAAAACAAAAATGCATTTATTATTAATTGGTTTAATCCATGAATTAACTTGTGGTAATTCTTGGAAATTATATTCAAATAGTATTTGTTTTGTTGTTTTTTCGGTCAATTCTACGTTATTTTCATAATATTTTCCACTAATATATAAGCCATTTGTTGTGTGAAAATATGTACAATAATTACTACAACTGATTGTTTTTACATCACTTATGGTTGATATCAATCGGGGTTTTAATACTTTATCATCGGTTATATTGTGTCCCAATCTATGGCGACTATTCTGACCCCAACTGAAGACATGTCCGTCGGATGTGATGGCAAACGAAGAGTCATTATAACAATAAATGGATTGTATTTTATAATTACTACCAAATTGTATCTCAAGGGGTGATAAAACACGTTCGCGATTATCTCCACAACCCGTTTGTCCGCAACCATTGCAACCCCAGGCATACACCCGGCCATCACCGGTGAGGGCCAGTGAATGATTACTACCACAAGTGATTTGTACAACATTTTTACCGGTAAAATATGTTATAATCTGCGGTTTTAATGTGGATTCAGTGACCAAACTAAATACGAGTTTTAAATAGTTACGACCAGGGTCGTCATTTTTTGTCAATTGTCCCCAAACATTATTACCCCAACCGTATACAACATTATTGTCAGTTAAGGCTAATACAAATCCCATACCATTAACAAAGTGTTGTATGTTTTGATTAGATAATTGTGGTATTATTTGTGGCGATTGTATAGCAAATAGGTGTCCAAAACCCAGACATCCGTAAGTATTGGTACCAAAACCATAGACCTGATCATCGGTTGTCACAAACAGTACATTAAACCCTTGTCTCCAATCGTAAAACACATGTAATTTTGTGATATTTTTTCTAATATTTGACGGGATTTTATTACAAATTTCAAACTTTTCTAATAAGTCACACATTTTAACAACAATTATAAATATTATTTATAAAACACTCATTTGTTTCAATTCATCAAACAATTTTAAAATTATAGTTATGTATATTATGGTTACATTAAACGCATATTTTTATTACTCTTTGTTAAATGTTTTATGTGTTTTACTAAAGAGAGATAAATATTAACAACACTTAATACAAGTATTTAATAGATATGGTATAATCAGTTAAACCAGTGAATACTGTACAAATATTTATTAGTAATAAATTATTACTGTTGCATATAATAAATGAAAACTAAGTTGGTGTTTTATAACTTAATACGACCATGCTGTCCCTATCTATTCTTATTGTAAATAAAAAGTGATTACTCCTTAAATTTATATTCCTAAAGATATTTTAACATGTAATTAATGTAAAGACTATTAAAAATATTTATTATTTAATATTACAATTGATTAAGTTATTTAACTATTAAACCTTATTAAAATATAATATGAATTCAATAAATATTTCTGTTTTAAAATAATAGATTAAGTAATAAATTTATTATGGTTGATGATTATTTTGATACATGTAATTTATTCATTGTAATAGTTAAAAAATTAAAACATTTATATTTATGTTGTTTATAATTGCAAACAATAAGAAATAATAGTAATCCAGAATTAAAATTAAAAATAAATAATACTTTTGGTAAAAATAATGCGACAAAATTAAATTGTTTTATTGAGCAGAATCTTATAGAAAACTAAATTATCATTAGTTTTAAGTGTATTTAACATTGAATTGAATTCCTTATGAATTGTGACAATAGACTTATCAATCGACCACTCGTTATGTTTGGCCAACACTTCCCGACACTCAGGCCTTTGTCGCCAATTGGGTGTTGACATCATTGCCAGAAGTGTCCGATACATACATAATATGGGTGTTTTTAAAACAGAATTTTTGGCAGTAAATGATTGCGATCTATAAATGCCCACAAAATCAAGTATTATAAAGAATAAGTGTACTTTTAAATTTTACAATTAAACTCTACATTTAAAAAATAACATTAATTTATTAATAAAATACTTACGCCTGAAGATCGATACAAAATAACTCTTCGCCAATAATACAGAGACTATAAATGTCTGATTTATGGTTATATTCTCTGCAATGAATGACTTCGGGAGACATATACTTAATAGTGCCCACACCTGATGTATGGCCGTATCGGCTGGCAGTGTGTCTATCAATGTTGTGATCGGTGGCCAAACCAAAGTCACACAGTTTTACGAACCGATTCGACCGGAAATTGATGTCAATTAACATATTGTCGGGTTTGAGATCTCGATGAATGACCGGTGGTTTTAATTCATGGAGATATTGGACGCACTCTAAGATCTGTTTGAATATTTCGCAGGAAATAAAATAATCAAAAACTTTCATCTGTTCTTCCGGTTGTTTCTTAAAGACAATGGCTTTGTCTGTGAGAAGAGATTTAAGACTTTGCGGACAGAACTCCATTTGAATATAGAGATGATTGGACTCAAGCCATGAGTTGTAATATTTGACCACAAATTCTGAATCCATTTTTGCCAAACTTTTTACTTCTTTGAGAACTTTTAGTTTCTTTTCTTCACTAAAATCTGTGTATTTATTAGTAAATAATTAATTATTTATTTTACTTTTTGCAAAATAGATATTTACCCCCGAATTGTACTCTTTTAACTGCATATATCTTATCATCCAATCTATGCTTTACTTTAAATACAGTCCCAAAACCACCCGAACCTATGGCTGACATCTCAATGAATTGGGTTTTATAGTTGCCATCATTTGTTTGCTCTGCGCTAATACTTGTGCTATAACTGGGCGTCGGTTGTATTAAATCTTCGGATTGTGTTTTATAATTACCATCATTTGACTTATTATTTATATTATTTTCATTTTCAATTTTATCTTCATTTATATTTTTACTTTCTTTTGATGTCAATAATGTTTTTTCACTTATTTGTGTCAAATTAATGGTATTATAAGTTATTTGATATTCTTTGGCATAAAAGTCAATAAAGTTATTATAATTTGTTTCAATTAATTTCTGTTCGTTTGTTATTTTATATATTTTATGGTTCATTAAAACACATAAGCATTCTCTGTACCATTCAATCGATGAATTAATTTGTGGCAATTCTTGGAAATAATATTTTGATAGGACGTATTTCGGAATTTTTACATCACTCAGCATTTCTTTAAATAATGTTTTCTTTTTATATTTGCCGCAAAAATATAATCCATTTGTTGTGTGAAAATATGTACCCGAATATGGCCTAAAATATTAAGTTCATATAAAGTGTTAATGTATTTTAAAATTTACTCACAAATATATCCTATTAGTTAGGAATATAATCTAACATTTCTTATACTGTTTTTATACCACATTTTTGTTGAATCCATTGGTTTACATGTAATCGTTTTCACACTTCTTATGCTTGATATCAATCGGGGATTCAATACTTTATTATCGGGTATATTGTGTCCCAATATATACCCCCTATTGTCTCCCCAACTGAGGACATGTCCGTCGGATGTGATGGCAAATGACGAGTCATTATAACAATAAACGGATTGAATTTTATAATTATTAAAAAATATCTCAATTGGTGTAGAAATACATTCAAAATTATCTCCACAACCAATTTGACAAAAATGATTCCAACCCCAGGCATACACCCGGCCATCACTGGTTAGGGCCAGTGTGTGATGAGACCCACAACTAAGTTGTATAATTGTTTTTTCATTAAAATACGATATTATCTCTGGTTTTAAAATATTATCGCTTTTATTATCCCTGGCTAATTCTCCATATTCATTACTTCCCAAACCGTATATCACATTATTATCATTCACTGCTAACACAAAATTATATCCATTGACAAAGTATTGTATATTTTGATGACATAATTCTGGTATTATTTGTGGCGTTAATACGGGATTTTTGTGCCCAAAACCCAGACATCCATATTTATTATTACCAAAACCATAGACCATATCAGTGTTTGTCACAAATAATACATTTCTATCATCTCCATATTCATAAAAAACATGCAATTTTGTAATATATTTCCTAATATTTATGGGAAACTTAAAACTTTCTAATATTTCACACATTTTTACAATAAATATAAAAAATTACTAACTTGTAAATAATATTAAACACAAAACACTGTTTAAACATATTATAATTAGTGTACAAAGTTATTTGGTTTTATTATTTTTTTGAATTTCGTGTGTTTTATTTGGTTTTATTAATTATAAGAAAAATTTGGTGTTATTTGGTGGTTTAACAGTATTATTTTTAAAATTTCGTTTTATTTGGTTTTATTTTTTGTATAAATCAAATAGTTAGTATAATTTGACTTAATATTATAGATGAGACTTATTATGTAGGTAACGGAATCGCTACAAATGGCCAAAATGTTTGTTTTATGCATTTAATTTAGCGAAAAAAATTAAGTATACAAAATTATGTACAGATGCATAAAACAATTTTTAAAACATTCACAAAACAGGTGATATGTGGTCAAATTTTACAACTTAATTACGAACAAAATTTGGTTTTATTTGGTTTTAATAATAAAACCAAATTGTATTATTTTTAAATTTCGTGTGTTTTATTTGGTTTTATTTGTTTTAACAAATAACTTTGTACACTAATTATAATATAATATTATATTCTAATAGACAACTATTAAAAGCATTTTTAAATATTTTGTAAACCTTTATTCAAACACAAACAATATATCCATTGTTTAATGCTTTTAATTATAATACAAAAATATATGAATATAATAATAATGTTGTGTTTAACTAAATTATCAATCTTTTGATAACAATAGTAATAATCAGTGAAACCAATGGATATAATACATACATGTATTTCACACAATATAATGATATCCTTCGTTCAGATAATATTTCATTTTATGTAGTTTTTAAGCAATAATATTGACATTAATTTCTAATACAGGTTATTTAGATTCTTATAATAAGTATAACAAATTATTTTACAACAATTATTGATGACCAAAATATTAAAATAATTGAAACCATATTGATCCAGTGATATAATGTGAAAATATATTGTAAAAATTGTGTATAGATTTTGTTATTGTGTCACAAACAATAGGTAAGAATTATAATTTAAAATTACACATTAAAATTAAATAAAACTATGCTTAAATACAATGTGGTAAATTATTTTGTCTTATTTAACAAAATCTCATAGAAAACTGAATTATCATTAGTTTTTAGTTTATTTAGCATTGAATTGAATTCCTTGTTATTTCTGACAACATTTCTATGAATAGACCATTTGTTATATTGCCAATATTTGGCCAATACTTCCCGACACTCAGGTCTTTGTCGCCAATTGGGTGTTGACATCATTGCCAGTAATGTCTGGTATAGACTTAATATGGATGACTTGAACAACGATTCCTTGGGATTAAATGAATCCGAGCTATAAATACACACATAAAAATATTTGCATCATTATTATATACACTATGAGACAATTAACAAAATTTAATTAAATTTTAAACACTAGTTTTGATAATAATTTAGAATTGTAAGTGAATTAAATGACAGTAATGTAGAACAACATAAAATTTTATTTAATTTTATAAGGCACTTACTCCTGGATATCAATATCAAACAAATCTTCGCCAATAATACAAAGACTATAAATGTCTGATTTATGGTTATATTTGCCGGTATAGACCTCGGGTGCCATATATCTCCAAGTGCCACAAGCTGTATGCGCGTATCGACTGGAAGTGTTTGCATCAATGTTATGATCAGTTGCCAGACCTAAATCACACAGTTTTACAAAACGATTGCATCTGAAGTTGGGATCAATTAATATGTTATCGGGTTTGAGATCCCGATGAATGACCACTGGATTGGATTCATGAAGAAATTGGACGCACTCTAAGATCTCTTTGAATATTTCGCAGGAAATAAAGTATTCAAAGACATTCATCGGGTCTTCCCGTTGTCTCTCAAAGACAATGACTTTGTCTCTGAGAAGTGATCGAAGGCTTTGCGAACAGAATTCCATTTGAATATAAAGATAATTGGACTCAAGCCATGATCTGTAATATATCACAACATAATATGACTCCAATTTTGCCAAATTTTTTACTTCTTTGAGAACTTTTAGTTTCTTTTCTTCACTAAAGTCTGTAAATTATTTCATAAATATTTATTTAATTATAAAATTGTAATTTATTAAATAAATAAATTTAGTTATGGTATTAATACTTACTTTTAAATTGTACTCTTTTAACGGCATATATCTTATCATCCAATCTATGCTTTACTTTAAATACAGTCCCAAAACCACCCGAACCTATGGCTGACATCTCAATGAATTGGTCCTTATAATTATCATTTAATTGTTTTAAATTTAATGTATTATACGTTATTTTCCATTCATTAGAACAAAATTCACTATAATTATAATAATTTGTTTCAATTAATTTATTTTCATTCGATAGTTTGAATATTTTATCGTTTATTAAAACAGCCGTGAATTTTGCATTCAAATTATTAATATATGAAGTAATTTGTAATAATTTCTGAATCCGATGTTCAGATAGTATTTTCACCGGGGCTTTTTCAATCATTTCAGTTTTTTCACCTTTAATATATTTAAAATAATATCCGCAAAAATATAAGCCATTTGTTGTGTGAAAATAAGTTCCTTTAAAAGTACAATTGATTGTTTTAATGCCAGTTATGGCTGATATTAATCGGGGTTTTGATAGGAATTCATTGCTGATATTGTGTCCCAATTTATTCGCATAATTGTTACCCCAACTGAAGACATGTCCGTCGGTTGTGATGGCAAATGAAGAGTAATCGATACAATAAATGGATTGTATTTTATAATTATTAAATTTAATCTCGGTGGGTATTAAAATATGTAAAGGCATAGATCTTAACATTGAGGCAAAATAATCTATATAACCGTTATAATCATTGCAACCAATTTGTCCGCATTTATTGCGACCCCAGGCATACACGCGGCCATCACTTGTTAGGGCCAGTGTATGCTCTGAACCACAACTGATGTTCACAATATTCTTGTCATTGAAATATGGTATTAAAATTGGTTTAAAAATTTTATAGGTGACTTCATTATTTTGAGCTAGTTGTCCATTGATATTATAACCCCAACCATATATACAATTCCTGTTATTCTTTGCTAATACAAAATTATATCCATTGACAAAGTATTGTATGTTTTGGTGACATAATTCAGGGATCAGTTCCGGTGATTGTATAGTATCGTTGTGTCCAAATCCAAGACATCCACCTCTATTATTACCAAGACCATACACGTTATCATCATTTGTTACAAATAATATATTATATGAATTAATAATGTCAAAATCATCAAAAACATGTAATAGTGAAATGTTTTTGGGAATCTTATCACCAAATGTAAAATTATTTAATAAACCACACATATTTAAATTTTTATATTATAAAATTATTTAAAATACTGTTTAATAAACTTTATGTAGACTATTTCAAATAACTATAAATTTATTTGTATAATATATTTTTATTAAGTATTCAATAATTGAACAGTTTATGCAACATTTATGATTTTCAACAAAAGTCGTATGAATTTACAGTATATGGGCCAATGTATTCTATAAAAGCCTGAGCACATATACCATCTATATTACACAAATACACTGATTCTGTTGCACTGAATGTATAAAAGTAGTTAATGGACACAATTTACAATAGTTTTAATTAATATTTATTTAATATTTAAACATTTATTTATTAAAAGTTACAAATTATTTAATTATAAATTTGTTTAAAATACTATTATGAAAGTTTTTATCACTTATAGACATATTTTACCAATAATTTTGCCTTTTATTTTTTAACATTTATTTGTGATTTTTGTGCTGTAATTATTCAATTAACTAAATTTTTAATAGAATTTATATCGGAATTTAATAAATTTATAGAATTTATCCCTTTATTG